CCACGGAGGTGAATTCGACAATCACCTCTTCCAAAACTTCTTTGATCAAAACGGAATCTTGGCTCGTTTTTCGTGTCCACAAACCTCCCAACAAAATGGCAAAGCCGAGAGAGTCATTAGAACCATCAATAACTTTATTCGAACTCTCCTCATTCAAGCACATCTTCCTCCTCAATTTTGGGTTGAAGCATTACACATGAGTGCTCACCTATTAAACCTATTACCCTCTACAACCATCGAAAACACAAGCCCATACACAAAACTATTTAATAAACCCATCTCTCTCTCTCACTTACGTGTCTTTGGATGTTTATGTTTTCCAAATTTAATCTCTACCTCTCCTCACAAACTTTCCCCAAGATCCACACCTTGTATTTTTCTCGGATACCCTTCTCTGCATCGTGGTTTTCGATGCTTTGACCTTACATCTAGAAAAATTATTATCTCACGTCATGTGTATTTCAATGAAACCATCTTCCCATTTTTTGATATCAACAAATCCTCACAGTCCCAATATGAATTTCTTGACATAGACACGGATTTACATCCACTTTTTCGAACACTACGTCAGTTGCCTCCTGGCTCACCGACGATGCCAACTCCACCACCAAACAACGAACCCATAAGACCACCATCTCCAACCATTACATCAAACCAAAACACCATACCACTGCAACCAACAGAACCGACACCCTCTCAAGTCTCCCATCCGATGATGACTCGCAGCAAAGCGGGCATCTCAAAAAGAAAACAGATGTTATCCCTCCTGATTGACCAAATTTCACCGTTACCGAAATCACATCTCTATGCCTTAAAGAATCATCATTGGCGACGTGCAATGCATGAGGAATATGATGCTCTTATTAAAAACGGGACGTGGGACTTGGTTCCCCGACCCCTCGGGGTTAATGTCGTTCGTTCTATGTGGCTTTTCAGGCATAAGTTCAATGCGGATGGATCACATGCTCGTTACAAAGCACGACTTGTCGCAAATGGAAAATCTCAGCAACCGGGACTTGATTATGGCGACACCTTCAGTCCCGTGGTGAAACCGGCAACAATACGGGTTGTTCTAAGCATCGCTTTGTCTCATCAATGGCCGATACATCAACTCGACGTAAAGAATGCATTTCTTCATGGTACTCTCCATGAAACAGTCTACATGCATCAACCACCGGGTTTCACCGATCGGGACAAGCCGGATCATGTTTGCATCTTGCGTCGCTCTCTCTATGGCCTAAAATAAGCTCCACGTGCATGGTTTCACCGCTTTGCTGCCTTTATATGCACTATCGGTTTTCATCATATATATATGTGATAGAAACAATGACGTAACACCGCATTAATCATTTCAATATTAAAAATCATGACCGTGTATATATATATATATATAGTACATATTAATAGTTTTAAAATATTCTAAAATCCCTACGGATCTTGTTCACTAGTTATTCTTTTGTTTGAAGTCGAATTTTCCCAATTTTATATATGTGATGCCCTTAATTCCTTGCACGCAACAAGTGGTCTTGCTATATGTAGACGACATCATCCTCACGGCTTCAACCTCCACTCTCCTCCGCAAGATTATTCAATCTTTAAATGGCGAGTTTGCAATGACCGATCTCGGCTTTCTTCACTATTTTCTTGGCGTCCAAGCAACGACGAACAAAGATGGAATGTTCCTAAGCCAAACACAATATGCTGCAGACATCCTTCATCGAGCCAACATGGACTCATGCAACCCATGCATCACACCAGCTGACATCAAATCCAAACTCGCCGCCGATGCCGGAAAACCAGTCGACGATCCTACTCTCTATCGCAGCCTCGCCGGTGCTCTGCAATACTTGACATTTACACGACCTGATATAGCGTATGCGGTTCAACAAATATGCCTCTTCATGCATGATCCCCGTGAAGCTCACATGAATGCATTGAAACACATCCTAAGGTATGTACGCGGCACTATGAATCACGGTATTCAACTTTGTCGATCCTCTCCTTCTACATTGACAGCTTATTCCGATGTGGATTGGGCTGGCTGCCCCGATACTCGCCGATCAACCTCGGGATATTGTGTCTTCCTCGGTGACAATCTCGTCTCATGGTCCTCCAAACGCCAACACACTGCATCTCGATCCAGCGCGGAGGCTGAATATCGTGGTGTTGCAAACGCCGTGGCAGAAGCTTGCTGGTTACGTAACCTATTATCGGAGCTTCATTCACCACTCACACGATCGACTGTCGTCTTCTGCGACAACGTCTCCGTTGTCTACATGTCGGCAAACCCGGTTCAACACCAACGTACGAAACACATCGAGATTGACATCCATTTTGTTCGAGAAAATGTTGCCATCGGACATGTCAGGGTTCTCCATGTCCCATCTTCTTCGCAGTACGCTGATATCTTTACTAAGGGACTACCATCATCGTTGTTCCTTGAATTTCGCAACAGCCTGAGCGTACGGCCTCCTCCCGCTCCGACTGAGGGGGTGTGATAACGGATATTACGGAGTAATATTGGATTTTATACGATTACGTATATGTATTACCATATTTGTGTACATTGCCATATAACTCTCGTATATATATATATACCCTGGAGGATAGTGGAAAACCCCAAGAGGAATTTACCAAGTTACACCAAGTCCCTCTATTAAATCGAGGACATTTCTAATCCAATGGCGATTGGAGATTTTTTTTTTTATAATTTTATTATGCATACTTTTACCGTATACTCTAAAAATATTTAATCATCTTTGAAATCTCTGCATTGAGAATATTTCAAAATAAAACTTCAACTTTATTTTTTATCTTTTAAAACCAAAATTTTGATATTCATATTTAAATAAATTTTAACTTCATAAACCATGTCAAATTTAATCTTAGTGGTTGACATGACAATTCAATGACAATTTTTATTTTTGACAAAATATTGTCACGTCATATATCATATGAATGAATTCAAAATTGTCACATCATTTAGAGTTAAATTTGATATAATTTATAAAGTTCAGATTTATTTAAATATTTTAAAATTCGAATTTTAAAACGTCCAAAAATTAAAATTGAGGTTTTATTTTGGAAAATTGTACAAGTTGAATTTTCCTAATAATAACCACAACAAAAAATTATATGGGCTTGCGCCATGGAAAACAGCGCGCAACGTTTTGATGGGCTTCTCGTGGATTATAGCTTTAGTTTATGGGCCCTTTTTCCTTTTGAATTCATCATTTTTGTTTTTGTTAAATGGCTTCTACGACGAAAGAATATATGCATATATGTATGTACATATATATATATATATATGTGTGTGTGTATATGAGGGAGAGCATACGCAATGGTGGTCTTAATCTTGTGTACGCAAGACGACTTTGGCAGGGAGACACATGTTTCTGGTGTGAATAAATTTTATTCTTTAAGCATAAATTGCGCATAAAGCAAAGTGTTATATTATAAAAATATATATATATCAACAATATTTAACTTGTAATAAAAAAAAAAAACTTGTAATCGAAACGGTCGACTTCACGTTTATTCTCAAACTTAGATACTCGGCTTTATTTTCCTTGTGGTTATATACAATCTCTTTTCTTTACTTCGATAACGGGCCAATATTGTATAAAATATTTGTATAATAAAGTATTAAATATAGCTTACCAACTACGACCCTTGAGTTCTCAATCATGGGTTTCGAGTTATGTAAATATTTTAATTTTTTTCATTAATTAAGAATTTTGCAATGAGATATTTTCTTTTTTTATCGTTTATAATTTTAGAGCGTGATCTTTATATTAGCATCTGTCCACTTAGAAATATGTAATATCCGTAAATTGTCGTAAATTTATTGTAATATAAAGTGTATTATATTATTAGGACCAAACAAAGAGTGAAGCAACAGATTGGTCGGTCGCACATATATTGTTTCATCTGAGTGCATGTTTTACACCATCTTAATTATATTCTATTATTCTTTATTTTTACAAGGGTTTTCATCATATATATATGTGATAGAAACAATGACGTAACACCGCATTAATCATTTCAATATTAAAAATCATGACCGTGTATATATATATATATATAGTACATATTAATAGTTTTAAAATATTCTAAAATCCCTACGGATCTTGTTCACTAGTTATTCTTTTGTTTGAAGTCGAATTTTCCCAATTTTATATATGTGATGCCCTTAATTCCTTGCACGCAACAAGTGGTCTATCAAAAATGTATTGAACTATATATACATACATATATATCTATATATCTATATATATGTGTGTGTGTGTCTGTATGTGTCCAGTTATCTTAGCTTGCACGCAAACTACACGGCTGTCTATATGAATTTAAATGGCAATTTTGGTATGTGTAAAAAAATTATGGGAGAAAATGATGGTCTGATAAATACATGTATCCATCTTAATTTAGTCTGGTAATAATATTCACTAATTGAACATGATCATGGTTAATTAATTTTCTCATTAAACCATCTGGCGGTTAATGGCCAATTTAATGCGAATGCTTGACCTTAAGAACCTCTCTATCTATCTATCTATCTATCTATCTATCTATCTATATATATATATATATATATATATATATATATTAATAATAAAATACATATTATATTTGGGCATAAATGTTTCCCCCCAAGATATGCTTGTATGTGTCTGCATATACGCGTGTATGACATACTGTATTCTGTCTCATGAAAAAAAAAAGATATATTAGAAAAATATATAGAAAACGACCGGAAAAAAGTTACTATTATAATTATTAAAAACCCAAAGTAAATCCTAATTTTAAAATAATACATTTTTAATAAAAAAAATTATTATCATCATTATTACTTAAAATATATTTGAAATTATTTTAAACCAGATAAATAAATACAAAAATATATTTATATTTTGTAAAATTTTATGTTTTATTTGAAATTATGCATTTCCTCCTATAAATACAAACCAACTATAAACCAACTATATAATACATCTCCTGGACCGAGACGAAGAAACAGAAAACAAGAAACAAAATGGACTCCAAAACTTTCTCTCTCGCATTCGTCATCTGCATTTCATTAATCTCTTATTTTCACCCCGCAACTTCCCAAACGATCCCAAACAACCCCTTCTCTTTCTTAACGTCTGCGAGTTTGCCGAAGCTCAGCGCGGAGAGGCTGATCAGATCCTTCAATTTGCTTCCTAAGCATGACGTTAACATCGTCGCTGGAGACACCCCCGATGGCACGAGGCTGGTCGAGAGGCAATTCAATTTTCCGGCGGTTCTCTCCGGCGGAGAATCCGGTGGTCCGTCGGTTAAGGAGTTCGGCCACCATGCTGGGTACTACAGACTCCCCCACTCAAAAGCCGCAAGGTAAAGAAAGGGTCTGAATTTCGAATGCCCTAAACCGGAATCATACCGGTTCAGAATTGTGTTTGACAGATCAATCCGGTTCAGATCGGAATCTTGGTTCCGTAACGTTGGTTCCATGGACCAATCCGATTCAAGCTGGTTTTTTTCCTCAACCGGATTTTATAAAATCGGATCAAACTATACCCACCAAAGATTCCATTTGCAGAGACTAAGCGATGTATCGGTCCGGTTCATGTCGGTATTTGTGCTGATCGGTTCACTGTTTGAATTTTCTCAGGATGTTCTACTTCTTCTTCGAGTCACGGAGCAGCAAAACCGATCCGGTTGTGATCTGGTTAACCGGCGGACCGGGTTGCAGCAGCGAACTCGCTTTGTTTTACGAGAACGGGCCGTTCACGATCTCTAACAACTTGTCCCTTTCTTGGAACGATTTCGGTTGGGACAAGGTTGGTTAGAAAATCTTAAACTGAAACTGTTTCTTGTGACACAAGCAACATCTTCAACTAACTCATAATGTTCGCGAAACTTTTTCGTTGATCATTTTTTTTTATTTGCATAGGCTTCGAATCTAATCTACGTGGACCAACCGATCGGGACCGGTTTCAGCTACTCCTCGGACAAGAGAGATCTTCGACACGACGAGGATGGTGTCAGCAACGACTTGTACGATTTCTTGCAGGTTTGGAATTTCCGATGTTATTCACTAAAAGATCCAAGAAACGTCGAGAAATTTTCCGAATTCACTAGGATTTTATATCTGGTTTGAATCTTCGCAGGCGTTTTTTAAAGAGCATCCTCAGTTCGCGAAGAACGATTTCTACATAACCGGAGAATCCTACGCCGGGCATTACATCCCGGCGTTGGCTTCAAGGGTTCACCGAGGAAACAAGAACAAAGAAGGAACTCACATCAATCTCAAGGTATTTATCCGTTTATAATTCAGATTTTCACTTTCTGATCTTCTGATTTTTCGATTGTTAAGCCGGTTTGACGTTCTTACGTGTATACACAAACCGGTTAACTAGGGTTTTGCTATCGGTAACGGGTTAACCAATCCCGAGGTCCAATACAGTGCATACCCAGACTATGCTTTGGACATGAAGTTGATCACGGAATCCGAACACGAAACCATCAAGAAACAATATCCTGCATGCCAGCACGCCATCAAAGAATGTAGTAAGTACAAGATTCTTTCTGACATCTGGTGAAATTTTCGTAATAAACAGAATGTTTCGTAAAGTTTTATTATGATCTCTCGTGAGCGATCGTTACGGTTGTAGGCATGGACGGTGGAGAAGATGCTTGCGGATCTGCTTACTACGTCTGCAACGATATCTTCCAAAAGATCATGCAGATTGCTGGAAGCGTAAATGTAAGTAGAAAGAATATTATTTTCATTGCGTAAATAATTTAACCTATGTTCTTTTTGTATAAGAAAACTGTAACGTTCATCTCAACAAATGAATTGGGGTTCGTTCTGGTTCTTTTGAAGTACTATGATGTGAGGAAGCAATGCGAAGGAAGCTTGTGCTACGATTTCTCGAACATGGAAGCGTTCTTGAACCAGAAATCGGTTAGGAGCGCCTTAGGAGTGGGAGATATCGAGTTTGTGTCGTGCAGTTCGGCGGTGTATGATGCAATGCAGATGGATTGGATGCGGAATCTCGAGGCCGGGATCCCAACTCTTCTTGAAGATGGCATCAAAGCCCTCGTTTACGCCGGAGAATACGATCTTATCTGCAACTGGCTCGGTATGATCGTTTCCACAATCAGATTCATCTATTAGCCTAGATAGGTTTGGTTTTGGTTTGACCAGTTCGAACCAAAACTGATGTTAAGACTGTATCTCAGTTCGGTTCTAGAACTTCTAGAAACCAGTTAACCGTCTCCGGTTTCTTCTGGTTCACGTTGGTTTAGTTTCAGATCAGGTTTCTGTAGGTCCGGTTTTAGATCCTGTTCTGATTTGGTGTATTTGTTTATAGAGATAGACCTATGTTTAGTTTCAGTTCTGTAGCCGGTTTAAGAAGCTAAGATCCGGTTCAGGAACATTTCGCATGGTCCGGTTCTATCCAGTACCGATTTCCGGTTCATCTCCGGTCCATTTCTCAATATTTTCTTTAACAATGATAGGAAACTCGAAGTGGGTTCACGCGATGGAGTGGTCAGGGCAGAGAGATTTTGTCTCGGCATCGACGATTCCGTTTCTGGTAGACGGTACACAGGCCGGTTTAATGAAGAACCACGGTCCACTCACCTTCCTCAAGGTAAACCGGTTTAACCGGAAACCAAACCGGTAAAATTATCGGTACAGATTCATAATACACCGAATTGAATTTTTTTCTTTTGGAACAAAGGTTCACGACGCAGGACACATGGTTCCAATGGATCAACCAAAAGCTTCACTGCAAATGCTGCAGAATTGGATGGAAGGGAAACTCGGTACGACCCAAGGCCGGACCGCTCCTCTGTAACTTCGTACCGAACCGGAGAATATTATTATATGTTATTACAAAGTTTGTTAAAAAATAATAATGTTTTGTTATTCTTTTCATATATAGCAATTTAATTTAATGATATGTTTCTCAACTGATATGTTCCCATCTCCCCCTTTCATGGTTTCACTGTTGTTATTTAGGGATGGAGAATTTTAATTTTAAAAAGGTTTTTTATTTTTATTTGAGGATTTCATCCATTAAAATGGGTAAAATGTAACAAATCGTTTTTTTGGTAAAAGTAAATAGTTGTTATGTATCATACGAATAATCATGGAAATAAATTAATGGTGGATTAAAACCCTAATCATATGTATCCACAATACTGTCTTTGTAATAGTTTATAAAAACTATGTTACCGAGATCAGACCTGCAAGTGCAAACTACTGTACGTACGTCTCATGTTGCCAGTATTATCTTCATATATATATATATATATATAGGGTTATTATAATATATAATGTAATATTTATTAAATTAAAATTTAAAGAAATAATTATGTGATGTAACAGACGGGGCCTCGCCAACCGTTGTGGAAACCACTCTCTTTTTTTTTTTACTTTTCATCCAAGCATAGTTTCACCCCCAATTATTACTATTATTATATATATATATATATATATATATATTATATGCAAATAAATAAATAAATAACGTATTTCTAAGGCCCACAAATTTTACAAATTGTATTGGTGTAGATATAGGTATATACAAATTATTATACGCAAGGTGTGTATCTCAACCCATGCTCAAGTTGGGCCTGTGACTATATTATCGTTATTCAAATAGAGGCCGTCCTTATTGAGACCATTTAGGCCCATTAATAATAATTTTGCTTTAAAGCCCACTTTACGAACTCCAGGCTTCTTCTTTTTTTTTTTTTTTAATTTGAACCGTCATTTATTTTTTTGCAAATTGAGATTTTTATTTTTTATTTAATTTAAAGGTTTCGATATCATTTTTTGCGAAAAAAAATATATTGTTTTTATAAGGAAGTTTTCATTAAAAGGAAACAGAAAATATAGAAGATATCATATTTTTCGATTTTTAGATTATTGGGGGTTTTGTTTTCCCAAAAGTATGGCACATTTTGCATTTAATAATTTAAGAGAGAAATAATTTTGTTTTTGCTAATTTATCTTCGTGCTAATGGAACATGAAATATCATCATCATCATCATCATCACATGCCCCATAACTGATGATTCCGCGTTTCTCCTATTATAAATACGAAGCGTCGCCTCTTCTCCTTCCCTCCGACTCTGTCTCCACCCACTCGCCCCACTACTTACTAACCTTTTCTGAATCTGTAAACCGGTTCCTATTCATCCGTGTTACTGAGTCACCATGGGCGCGGTAAGCGAGTCAACCTGCCCCCACCCAACTCACCTTCCGTTTCCCCCAAAATTTTCAAGTTTTTTTGTGGGATTTTCCCTAGAAATTGGGAATGAGATTGATAATGGGTTTCTCTTCTATCTGTTTGGTCTGGTCTCTGTGCAGAAGAAGAAAAACGAAGGAGAGAACAAGACGAAAGCAGATGAAAGAGAGAAGAAGAAGAAGAACGAATCCTCCAGCGTCGTATTGAAGGTTGATATGCACTGCGAAGGATGTGCGTCCAGAATCGTCAAATGCGTTCGTGGTTTCGAAGGTAAAATCTTTTGTTTCCTTCATATTCTACACGAAAAACCCATTTCTATCCGTTGTTTTCTTCTTTAGACGGTAATGAGCGGTTGCGTACTCTGGGTTTTGTTTTTCTCGCTCATGAACTTTTCCTGGGAAACAAACACGATCTATCAACTCTTCGACGGAAACCCAGATTGCTAAGTATCGATGTTTTCCCGTTTCTGGATTTTCTCATTTCTGGGTATTTGTTTCAAGATTTATGTGCGTTCATGAACCGTCATTACTATTTTTGTTTTTGTGAGATTATTTCAGGGGAAAAAAACGAAAGAGAAATCGAACGTTGTTCTTCCTGATTTCTCTCATTATTTTACTTGATTTCCCCCTTTTTTTTTTTAATTTGAAGATTCGTGTTTTTTTTCTCGGTGTCGAAATATCCCTATTTTGCTGCTGGAAATATTCTGGGTTTGTTTATGCATTTATTCGTGTTTTCAGTGTAACAAAAATCCGTTTTTTGCCCGAAATAACTCTCAGGGGTGGAGACGGTGAAATCGGAGGCGGCGGAGGGAAAACTGACGGTGACCGGGACAGTGGATCCGGCGAAACTCCGGGAGAAGCTTCAGGCGAAGACAAAGAAGAAAGTTGAACTAATCTCTCCTCTGCCCAAAAAGGACAAAGAAAATGCCAAAGACAACACCAACAACAGTAGCGGAGAAGAAGACAAAAAGAGTGCCAAAAAGCCCGACGACAAGAAATCCGACAACGACAAGAAACCCCAAGAGAAAGACGTATGTGTATACATATATATGTATTATATATGTGCATTATAGTATTTGTGCATTTGTTTGGATTACAATCGAAATTAAATCCATTTCGTGTTTGTTGACTGAGTTTTCTCTTCTTTTTCTTTGTTCATAAAAAATGTTCAGCCTCCGGTGACGACGGCGGTTTTGAAGCTGAACTTCCATTGCCATGGGTGCATCGGGAAAATCCAGAAGACACTCACAAAAGCCAAAGGTTAGAGACAATGCGAAGACTTTAACGATGAATTTCGCGTTCCGTTATTCTTACAGTGCGTTTCGGTTAAGACAGGCGTGAACGCGGTTACCATGGACAAGGACAAACAACTGGTGACGGTTAAGGGAACCATGGATGTCAAGAAGCTGTCCGAGACATTGTCGGAGAAACTCCGACGGCCCGTGGAGGTTATCCCTCCGGCAAACAAAGAAAAGGACAACGAGAACGACGCCGGCGGTGGTAAGAAAAAGAAAGGCGGCGGCGGAGGTGGGCAACCGAACGGTGGCGGAGACGGCGGAGGCAAAAAGGAGGAAGGCGCGAACAAGATGGAGTACGTGGCGGCTCAACCCGGATCCGGCTTCGGGTACTATCAGTACCCGGTGCAAGCTCACGCGCCGCAGTTTTTCAGCGACGAGAACCCGAACGCTTGCGCCGTCATGTGATTATGGCGGCGGGAAGGGGGTGGCAGGGAGATGTAAATAAGTGATGAAACAGGGGCAGTTTGGGGAAATGACGGTTTTTCAGGTAGAAAGGATCAAGCATGTTACATGTTGTGCTACGGCGTACGAACTTGTATTTCAGAGTTTTTTTTAATCAATGGTTGTTTTTGTTTCGAATTTTCAATTTAAAATTACACAATAAATTCCTGTTTGTTTTAAGTATAATAGCTGATGATTCAAGTTGATAATATCGATTTAAAACTTATAAATGGAATTGATAAAGTTTTAAATAATTATTTAAACGGTAAACAATAACTTATGATTTTAGATTTATGATTACTAAAATAACTAATAGGATGTGTTGGTATTGTTGCCTTACATCATCATGTAGTTGCATTGTAATAAATTCGAATAAATGCTTTGTGGTGAATATCATTAAATGCTTAGTCAAAAGCTACACATAAATGCCTTTTTTTTACATCTCTGTCTTTTTATCCATAAATTATCAAAGCTTTGAGTTGGTCCTTTGTCGCGTGACGTATTTCCAACCAAAAATAATAATAATTTTGAAAAAATATTCTAGAGTCTCTTAGACGCATTTCATCGAACACTTACTATGCACGAACATTTAGTACCGGAATTTAAAAAAAAAACTCTTCTGTCATTGATGGCATTTTGTTATGATTTTGTCATCTTCTATAGATATCCCCGATAAGCTCGAGTCTGAAACTATACAGAACGTTATCTACATCAAGGAAGACGGAGCGGATGTCGATCCTGAAGAGCTTAAAAGCCTGAGCAAATGGAACGTTTCATCTTACATAGTGTAAGCCATCGTGTATACTAAGTGTTCGATGAAATGCGTCTAAGAAATTTTAAAATATTTTCTGAAGAAACCGGTTTTCTAAAACTTGGTACTGATTACGTGGCAAAAAAATCATATTTTGCGTGCCATATCACTTGCCACGTAGGATATATAATCATATTATTATAATCAATTTTTTCGAAGGATTAATATGATACCTTTTTACAAGATTATGATTTATTGAGATACTTTTTGTAATTTTAGGAATTATTTGGCACTCTCGCAAGTTCAAGAATTTTTTTTCTCGCACTTTGCAAGTTCAGAAATTTTTAGGAGTTTTTCCCTAATAATTTTAGATGAATAAATGTAACCTGAAATGCAATATTGCATAAAAATATTCCATCAGCAACAAAAAATTGTAATAAACTATTACCTATTTTTTAACGTTTTGAAACGTTATTAACCATTGGGTCGATAATTTTTATCTTTTTTTTTTTTTATAAAATCCATATATACTTCATTGTTATATATATATATATATTAAACTCTATTCATCTTCTATTTTACTTACAACTATTTTCTAAATTGCATTCATTATATTTTTCGAATTATTTTTATATTTGATAAAATTAATTTGATTTTAAAATAATTTTATCCAATCGATTTTAAAATTTTATATATAATTATGTTTTAATTCGATTAAATTCATTTTTATATACCAAAACCAAAATATGTCCTTAATTCTATATAGTCGTCTAGTCGTTGATTATTGGGCCATGTGTTGTATATCACTCACATAAATATACAACTTTACGTTTTGAAGATTGCATTTATTTGTAATTAATGACCTGAATCTGCTGTATTCTAAAAATTAATTTACAAACTATCGCGCTTGATAATATTATTATCTAAGCAAAACGATAGAGGATACATTATTCGTATATACTATTGATTAATATGTTTCGGTTATTTTTATGCATTAAAGATTGTGTTCAGAAATTAATTTTATTTGGTATTCTATCAAATTTTATTTATTTATAAATTCAAAATTCATAGAATTTTCCATTCATTCAATATTTTCTAAGCGAAATGGTCAGTCATGCAGTCAACGTCTAGTGAATGCCAACCCATGGCATCAATGCCACGCGAATTATTTATATTTTTCGTTACAAACTTTTTTTTTTTTGGTATAAGATTTTCGTTACAAACTTACATTTCTTTTTTCCTTTCATTGATCGTAACGTAAAGCCGAATTTATTTGTATGGTAAATTAAATTAAAATCTAATAATGTGATATCCATGTTTTTACTGTGGATGCGACGTCTCGTTCATTTATCATTCAATTGATATACGTGGAACGTGTGGGGATCATGATGCGTTAGAGCAACATGCATCCTCATCATGACCTCACGTGTGTATCCGATCATCATCATCATCATGGCATTGGATGGTTCTTGCAATTTTCCTAGGAAGGTTCCACTGAATATCGAAAATTTTAAGGTTAGGACACTGAAGTTTCCACCTCTCTTATATGCATCCATATAATAGAACACACCCATGCATATATATATATATACAATAGATATAATATATATGTATATAATATATTGTTTAGAACCTTGATTTCGGTTTATATTAACTACAATTGCATTGCATGGCTTTTATGGGTTTTCATAAATTAGGATTAGAATACGAAGTTATTTAATTACGAAAATAAATTAACTGTGTAATATGTTAGAATATAAATTTATTTTATTTATTAATTGGAGTTCTCCGGACGTAGTAGAAGTTTATTAACTTCCAAATATATAGTCTAGATATTATTGAGTTAACTGTTGTGATAACTATCCATTAAGCAGTTTTTTTATGATGAAAAAACTAATAAAAATGAACAGATCTTGGTCCCTAGGCTAAGCAACAAACAGAACAAACACACCATCGTTTGTGATTGCTATACCTTAGAAGAATTCAGATTTTAACTCAAAGATTTTCAATGGCTGGAGGTATGTTTTTCGATTCAGAATTTTATTTCCACATTCATGATCTTATATGTTAAAATGTTTCATATTGAAGATCATGATTAAGATGAATTTAAATGAATTTTAAACTATCATTTGGTATTAGAGCATGCTTATTCTCTGCTTTGAATATAATGTTTGGTTATGAAATCTGAAATGTTACAGAAAACTTTAGTTTATTCGATATATTTCTGATTTTTGAAACCGAAATTTATTCGTTTGTGAAATACATCATTCATTAATCTGTGCATAAGTTTTTATAAAGAAAAAAAAAACTTTGTATTACCTCAAATATTTTGTTTATGTGATTTTGGTTGTCTGCCGTTGTGGTAACTATATCTTCAAAGGGAATTGATTCTGAATCTGGTTTACATTTGTGACTGGATCTTCAGAATAAAATCACGGAGATCATTGTCGGCAACGATCGTGTCCATGATGAAGCCAACCGACAGAGCTTGTTGATCCATACCCTCTCGGAACAGGGTTTTGGAGAGCACCGTCGACTTGGTGGATGCGGTGATTACGAAACCGTCATAATACCTCTGTTCCCCGTTTGGTGTATGTGACGACATTTCTGAAAGCAATTTCGGTGATGGTTGTTGGTCATTAACCGTCATCGGAGAAGTTGTTATTGTTTAAAAAAAAGGAAAGAAAAGGGACAGAGGAAGAAGACGACCGAACGAAATAGAAGATAATGCGCAAAATCAGAAATTTTAGGGTTTGTTTCAATATCTATAGTATTAGAGTAATAAATAAATAATATTATAAATATTTCTAACCCAAAACATTGCGCACAACCACTAGGTTAAGCCTATATCTCAACTTTATTCTGTATTTATATTAATAAATATCTTTTGTTCCGTATAATTAATTTAAATTAGAGAATAGCCACATCATCTCTAATTAGAATTAAATTATATATAAATTTTGATTTTAGATCATATTTAGTAAAAGACATTGATTATAATTAATTGAATTGATATAATAAAATTTATCCCACAGGAAATTTTATTATATTTATGTAATTAATTATGGTGAAAAATCGATTATGTTTCTTAATTTACCCACAAGGACTGAGAAATGAATATAATCTGATATTTTCATCATTAAGCTTAATAAAAAATATGAATCTATTTGAATTAGAAACTTAGCCCACAGGCAGTTTTTATGTCATATGATTCATATTGTTGATGTTTTTACATTGGTAAAACATCACATATAGTTGCCTCAATTTTATTAATATAAGCATGTATATGGATCTATTTTGTGCAGTTTTTCAACCTGTGAATGTCTCTGACATGAAATGCGGTATTCCCGAGCTTAGAGGGGATAACTATAAGGTGTGGAAGGAGAGAATCCTACTTCATTTGGGATGGATGGATATTGACTATGCTATTCAGAAAGATGAATCGTCTCCGATTACTAAGGGGAGTGAGTCTGAGGAGATTGAACTTTATGAAAGGTAGAAGCGATCTAATCGCCTCAGCGTTATGTTCATAAAGACAAACATCTCATCTGGCATTCGGGGTTCGATCGAACAGTATGACAATGTTCGTATGCTACTGAAGGCTATTGATGAACAATTTGAGTCTTCAGATAAGGCATTGGCGAGCACCTTAATTATGAAGTTTTTCGCTTTGAGGCTCACCAGTACCAAAGGATTGCATGAACACATCATGCAAATGAGGAATTTAGCAGCTCAACTCAAAATACTTGAGGTTACCATGTCTTACTCTTTCCTTGTGCATTACATTTTGAACTCTTTGTCGCAGCAATAAGGACACTTCAAAATCTCTTACAACACACATAAGCATAAATGGTCGATCAACGAATTGTTGAACATGTGTGTTCAAGAGGAAGGGAGGTTGCTTATGGAAGGGGGAGATAATGTGCATTTGACAACTCAAGGAAAAGTCAGATATCAAGCCAAAAAGAAAGGGAAAGGAAAGTTGACTTTCCAAGAAAACATCAAGAAAAAATCCAAGTGTTTCTTCTGTAAGAAGAAGGGACACATGAAGAAGGATTGCCAGATATTCCAAGACTGGCTTGTTAAGAAAGGTAACCCACTTACACTCGTTTGTTATGAATCTAATATGATCGATGTTGGTCACAACACACGGTGGATTGATTCTGACTCTACGATCCATGTTAGAATTCTTTACAAGGTTTGCAAAAGCTAAGAAAGCCAGTGGGAAGTGAGCAATGCATCTATTCAGGAAACAAGATGCACTCACATGTGGAGGCTGTGGAACATGTTATCTAGTTTTAAGTAGTGGTTATGTACTGATAACGCAAATCTAGGTATAGAAATAATGCTCAAGTGATAAAAACCTAGATACAACGAATACCGCAAG